ACCAACCAACACCAACCAACACCAACCAACACCAACCAACACCAACCAACCAACCTCCAACCTTCAACGAAGAACGGCGACCACCCGCCCAGTGCTCATCGCTAATCAGGCACAGCGGTTACTTCGACATCTTGGGACAAGCCTTGAGGGCTGCCGGCTACGCGGCGGTCGCCTACGACCAGGCCACGGCCACACGCGGCACCTAAAAGCGATGGCCTCCAATCTACTAGCGATGGCCTGCAAGCTAGCTATGGCCTCCAACCTAATAGCAATGGCCATCCACCAATTCATACCAACTCCACCCAAACTTAACCCATCCAATCAGGTGGGCAGTGGCTACTCCGAGGGCGACCCGGGCTACGTGGAGCGCTACTCCTTCGTGGTGGACGACCTGCAGAAACGCGCCGAGGAGGAGCGGCCAAGGCTATCATGAGTTACTACTAGCAATGGCCTGCAACCTACTAGGGATGGCCTCCACACAAATGGATGTTTGTGTTTGTGGCTACTGTTTGTGACGTTTGTAGTGTTTGTATATCAATAAGCTTTGCTGAATGTTCATGTTTCTTTAAATCTTCCAAGCACCCTCTCTCAGCCTTTGGTACACGGGAGCGAACCAGAAGATGGAAGACTGTTTTATCTCATTATGTTTGCCACAAAAAGGATCGCTTCATCATGAGATCCTCGATCCAAACACCAATTCAGCCTGATGAACCGAGTGCGCCTCATTGCAGGAGCAAAAGCGCTATCCAAAGCCAGGACAGCCCAGTACTGGCCTGCTTGGATCGAAGACCTGCTCATCGTTTAACTCTTAGAACTCACCTCCCTCTCCCCAAAAAAAGCTATTAGGAACAAGTGCCACGTTAGGAACAAGTGCCACGCTAGTAGTAACAGGTGCCTTACTAGTAGTAACAAGAAGCTATTAGAAACAATAAAAAAAGAAACCGTTCACTGGAACCCGGTTTCAGAGGTGCGTTTCGTCTCCACTCTTTGACTCTGGAGGTGCCAAGTCTTCGCCCTGGGCGAGTCGGCGGGTGCCTTGCTGTGCCTCCGTCATGGCCTCGGAAGGCGTCTGTGCCGGTCCACCGAGCGAAGCGGCGTGGACGACGTCGTGGACCGCGCCACGTACTGATGGAGACTCGCCCAGGGCTGCTTTTGGTTAGGGAGGCCATCAAGGCTATCAATACTAAGCTTGGTTTATCAGAGTTTTTGGGCCCCTCTCTCCCATTTTATTTGGCCACATATCTATATATTTGTGGCAAGTGCATGTGGTGCCAGATCAGTGACACAAGGAACTAGGTAGAGTGTAAGAAAAGAAGACAGGGCACGTTGTGTTGAACAGAGCATGACATTCTGCGGAACAATGTTTGTTGTTCATGACATGTCCCACCAGCAACAGAGGAAATAGGAATAGCTTGGATTAAGAGATATAAATACAAAGAAATCTTGTGAGGTTGTAGTTTCCAATGAAAAGTTCAACTTAATCCAAGTCTGCGCTGTCCACCACGTCAGGGCCGATGCTGGCTTGCCACCAGAGCCTGTGGCAGGCTACCTGCTTTGCGGCCCTGTGGTGACGCTCGGCAGTGGGCAATAGACCTCCCTCAATGCGCGCGGCATGTTTAGGTATACTTTTAAAGGTAGATGTAGCTTTTGTGCGAAAAAGCTCCATTCGCACCGCTCTTGTTCCTAGAAGTAGGGCCAGGAGCCCCTACTGGCGTCCTTGCTCCTAGTAGCGATGCCCTTTGCTCCTAGTCTTAGGTGCTTTTTTTCTGTTGGGAGGTTGTGGGATTTCAGCTTTGGAAACTTTGCGGAGTGAAGTTGACGCACAGGGAAACTGTGGAGACATATAAGTTTGAAAAGCAGGTCAGAGGCCATCGCTATTTGGATTCTTTTTGCATTTCAGAAGCATTTGATCAGATCTCCCAAGCCTCACCGGTCTGTTTTGAGCAGATCTGAGGAGAGTGAAGAAGGAGATGACTCTTGGCATGTCTTGCGCGGCGCGGCGCGGCTTGGCATGTCTTGGGAATCAGGTTCTATGAAGAGAGTATCTATATGTATCTTCTGATCATTGTCACTCAGTATGGGAAGATTTAGGCCGTGTCACACTCATTCAGAGACATCCTGGAGAATTCATCGTCAATGTTTCATCTCGTTGAGATGCCTTTTGGATGAAAAGCCCTGAAACAAGTGGATCGCTTAACCTGGCATGTGAGGGAGTCAGGACAAGCATAGTGGGGTGCTTCGTTTGCTGGAATACTGCATCTACTATGTGATCAGTATCTAAGGTGTATAGTGTTCAACTGGAGTTCATTGCAGATGAGGCTTCACCACGGGCTGGTGGCCACTTTATAATTGCCTTCAAGTTTCTATGTAGAGAGTTGCGGATCCTGGCTGACAACGTAACGGCAGTGTGTGTGGCAGTAAATATATTCGATTCTCAGAGTTAGGGCCCCCGTTCGTAGCGTCCTTGCTCCTAGTAGCGATGCCAGGAGCCCCTAGTAGCTTCTTGTTCCTAGTAGTAAGGCCAGGAGCCCCTAGTAGCGTCCTTGCTCCAATGACGCCAAGGACTGTGGCCTTCATGTGAGTATGGTGTGTTTGTTTTGCCTGCAAACCTCTTGATATTCTGTGCCTGTGACAGCCTCTTCCCAGTGTGCTGGAACTCAGAACCTTCCAAAGACCCTCCAGTTACACCCCGTTGTTTCGTGGGACTGCATGCCACGACCAAAAACGATGATGGAGTCAGCAATTAAAGACATGGTTTGATGACATGTCGTATCTGTTTTTCGGGCAACACAACCCACATTCCGGGATGTTTGATCATTGTGCGCTGGGTGGTGTAGGGCCCGGGCCACAGAGTCTTCAGCTCATTCCACGAAAAGAGTATCAGCGTATTTGCAGCTGCTTCCATTGATGAACACTGCCAGTCCCTACTTTTGGATCGTGTCCACTTGTTTCTGGATTGTTTGATGTTGGAGTGGTACGAGTGGTACTCACTGGCAGCTCTCAGACTTGATGGGATTTGCGAGCATTTCAACCACCGTTTCTCCCTGTTTCTCACATCACTCCCCTCCAGATTCATTTCAGCCACAAGGTTGTGTGGATTGTTTGGATACGGTTGGAGGCCATCGCTCGTAGCTTGGAGGCCATCGCTCGTTAGGTTCTTTGGATTGGATGCTCGAAGCCGCCCGAAGCTTCGACGCTCTCAGGATCCCGCCGCCTTGTGTCGCGCGGCACTCAGTTGGAATACTCGACTGGCTTTTTCTCTGCGTGGAGAGCTTGTTTGACACTCCAAGCGGACCCAGTCTGCAAGAGAATCTCGACCAACAGCAGACGTTTTCAAGTCTTTGCATGTGTGGAGTGTGGATGGAGTCATGGGTGGCAGACCCCAGTGGAGATGCAACGTCCAAATCCACCGGTTCGAAGCGGGACACCCTGTGACCACCACCACGTCCCAACTCTCAAGGCTAAGCTTCGACGAAGCAAACCTAATAGAGATGGCAAACGAAGCGATGGCCTCCAGAGATGGCCTCCTCGCTCCGTCCGAGCTGCAGGTGGGAATCTTTAAGCTCTTGTTTCGGCCTCAGATCGAGTGGGATCCCCGTCAAAGTGTGCAATTGCTACGTAGTGAAGTTTCAATCAAGGGTTTTTGTGTCTGCCTAGAACCCGTTTGACCTTTGTTTCGATATGAAAAGACCATGTTTTGGCTCCAAAACAGGGGTCAATCAGATTCTAGGTGTATCATGATTTTTAACATACAAGCAAGAATCCCGAAGATTTGGAACTGATCCCCCAACAAATATATAAAGCAAAAGTCTTCCCCTCCCCATGTTCTCAGCACGTGCCTCATGTGCACATGCCTCACCGCCGTTACTAGTAGCGCCCTTGCTCCGTTCGTAGCGATGCCCTTTGTTCCTAGTAGCGAACCTTGCTCCAGTAAGGCCAAGAGCCCGGTTCGTAGCGTCCTTGTTCGTAGCCGTTCCAAGTCCAGTCGACTCGAGGTCCAACTGGATCCCTCGGATGCCGCTGCCGGGCGTCGACGTGATCTCCACCTTCGACGCCGCCTTCGGCGAGCCTCAATGGGCGGCGGCCGGGAAGGCACGGAGATGGACGTGCGCTGGGTACGGTACGAGGGCCCTGCGGCACAGGGTGGAGGGTGCCAGTTTTGGGGGACTTCCAGAATGCAAATTTGCATGTCAAGCCAACAGAGGTTGAAGAACCCTATGGAGGTACCCTAGTAGGGTCCTATAAGGTTGTGGTTTGGGCTTTGCAGTGTTTGGAGGCTGTGAATGGCTCCTGGCATCGCTACTAGGACCAAAGAAGCTACGAACGGAACAAAGACGCTACTAGGGGCTCCTGGCATCGCTACTAGGTGCATTCTTACTACCAGGAACAAAGACGCCGCATTGCGATGTTTCAGGCAGACCCCATCGTACGCCGGGTGTTGGATGCGAAGATCCACGTGAGGTGCGGCGTTTGATGCGTGCTGCGCTTGGGGCAGGGCGTTTGATGGATGTGACGATGCTCCGGTAGGGGGGCAGGTGTTTGTCCGTGACTGGCAAGCCAACACTTGGGGAGTTGGATTTGCAGTACCCATTGCACGGGAGGTGTCCTACTCGAGCAATAACATCAAGTCTATCCAAGGATACTGGGCACGTTTTCCCTGCTGCATAGATAGTGTCGGGCATTGCTCATGCATGGTCATGTAGTGTCGGGCCATCTTCAAGACGGAACTTGGAAAGATCTTGTTCTTTGTGCAAGTTGGTACGGTTAGATGATATGTTAGTAGACGGTGGTGAGTTTCTTCAGTGCTTTATGGATCACTTCTGGTTCGATTGCTTTCCGAGCACAGTCCTCCCCAGAGCAAGACTAAAGTGAACCAGAGGTTGAATGTCCTACCACAACTGTTGAATGTCAAATACTGGTTAAAACTCATTCAGACGTTACTTCCACAATCCCTCTCCCAGTCGATGGTTGCAGCCCTCTCTATCAGTGTGCAGGACGGGCGCCGAGACCCTCGGCGCCGTGGACTTCGTGAACGATGCCACCAAGCGGGGCGCCTTGAAGCCTTGAAACACGGTTGGAGAGGCTCCGGCAGTCGTCCAGTAGCAGCCTCCAGCCATGGCCTCCAGCGATGGCCTCCAACTAGCGTCCAGTCCTTTCGCCTTTGGCCCATTGCCCAAAGAATGTCCGGAGGGCTTCCTCCCACGAAGCTCATGGAGACATAAGTAGCGTGGCGACCTACGTGGTGGATCTCGCATCCCGTGTTTTCGACTGTCCCCTGATATGGACTAGGCTTGCCTGTCCTAAGAAAGCAGCCCCTAAAACCCAAAACATCCTTTCAATCCCATTTCAATCCTTGCTATTAGATTGGAGGCCATTGCTAGTAGGTTGGAGGCCATCGCTACTAGATTGGAGGCCATCGTTACTAGGTTGGAGGCCATTGCTACTAGGTCAGACTCCTTTCAATCCCCTTTCAATCCTTCAGAAGGGCGGTGGCGGATAGGTTCTGACCGTGACCGGCTGATCGTGTTTGACCATCCCGGTTGACCGGGTCCCGGTCGACCGGAATGTCTGACCGGGCGACCGTGTTGACCGGGCCGGTAAAAATTCTAATGAAAAAAAAAATGGGCTGACCGGGCCCGGCTGACCAGCTCGGCCTGACCGGACCGGGCTGACCGGGCCCGGCTGGTCGGCTAACCGGCCTGACCGGACCGGGCTGACCGGGTCGGGTTGAGTCTCTGAGTTTCTCACGGGCTTGGTCAGGTACATGGTGATGGCCCTAAGGTTGCTTGGTACTTAGGTAGAAAGAAAAAATAAAGAAAAGATGAGGAAGAAAGGTTTAAAAATGTAAGCTACATTGTTAGACGCCTCTAAATCCATGCGATGCATCTACATCTTGGAAGGGAGCGCGTGAATAGTGGAGAACAAAAGCTGCGTGTGGACAACGCAGTGAAAGGAGTGGCCACGCAAGGCGCCTACTGCGAAGTTGTACCTGAGAAGGAAGGAAGACATCTAGGCAGCAACAAACTAGACGACGGTTGGCCCGAGAGCGAGACATGTGATTGTCCAGCACTGTCGAGAAGATATATAGAGAGAGAAAGAGAGAGTGGATGTGAAGGAGTGACAGTGTCGATGTGCAGGTGCGATATAGATCTGTAGATGTATGGAGGTGGAGAGGTAGATTCGTGGATGTGAGCGTGCGAAGATGTAAGTGCACAAAGGCGAGAGAAAAGATATGTAGAAAGAAAGACAGGACAGATGTCAAGGAGCGACAGTGTGGATTTACAGATGTGATATAGATGTGCAGATGTGTGGGTGCGGCGAGGTGGAGAGGTAGATCTGGGGGTGCGAGCGTGTCAAGATGTAAATGTAGAGAGGTGAGGGGATGTAGACGGAGATGCGTCGATGCAACGGCAGCGCAACGTCAACCTTAGCTGTGCAAGCGCAACGCTGAAGAGAGAAGGAGAGGGCGGATGTGCAGGAGTGACAGTGACAGTGTGGATGCGCAGGTGCGATATAGATGCACAGATGTGTGGAGGTGGAGAAGTACATCTGCAGATGTCGTGGGACACTCTCTCTTTCTGGGACACTGTTGTGGGATGCTCTTCTGGGTCACTCTTGTGGGAAGCTCTTGCGACACACTCTCGCCTGCATTTCGCGCCCTCGACACGCACCATCTCCGCAGAGGGTTGCGTTTCGTGGCGCTCCGGCGGCGCTGCCCCCGGCCTTAAGAGAGAAAGTTAAGAAGAGCGAGAGGTGAAGATGTGAGATGTAGATGTGAGGATGTGAAGATGAGAGAGATGTATGTGCAGATATGAACATGAGCAGAGATGTCGATGTGAGGATGTGAAGATCAGCAGAGATGTAGATGTGCAAATGAGAATGTAGATGTAGACGTGCCGATGTGAAGATGAGCAGAGATGTCGATGTGCAGATGTGAACAGAGATATAGGTGAGAGTGTGGATGTGCAGAGATGAAGATGTAGATGATACGTAGTTCTGCAGATGTTTTTTACGAAGAACCCGTCGCAGACGCTCTCGGGAAAAAAGGAAAAGAAAAGATACATTTCTAAAGGAAAAATACAGAAAGGCGCAAAGAAAGTGCACCCACAACATACTAGAGAACAAAAGCTGCGTGTGGGAAACGCGGTGAAAGAAGTGGCCACGCAAGGCGCCTTCTGCGAAGTTGTAACTGAGAAGGAAGGAAGACATCTAGGCAGCACGAGGTTCAAATCGATCCCACGCTTTGCCGATACACAGGGTGCCCGCTGCGGGCGCCATGTGTGAAAGTAGTCAAGTTTAATTTTGTTTGACAAAGCAGAAGCAGACTTGAACCATGGGGTTGTCATGGGTTTTAGGCTGGCTAAGGTTCAAAAACATTGCGCGCGCGTTGTCCTTACAAAATTGATTACTTTCACACGCAGCGCCCGTAGCGGTCATAATGTGCGAAAGTAACAATTGTTGAGATTGCTTAGCAAGACAGAAGCAGATTTACAGGAAAATGGTGGGAAATGAGCGCGAAATGAAAGGAAAATTCAAGGACACGACTGCAAAATGAAAGAAACATGAAAGGACATAAAAGCAAAATGAAAGGAAATGAACACACGAAAGGAAAAGAAAGGAATACCTGCAAAATGAAAGGAACGTGAAAAGAAAAAGGAAATTGATGTAACGTGAAAGGACACGCAAGGAATGTCTAAAGGGAAAGAGCATTCAAAAGTTAATGTTACAGCTTCAGTGTATGGGCTCTAATTATGGCTTCGTTTTCGCTGTCAAACATGTGTATAGTTTGAAGGATGTACTCTGTCCCGTGCCTGGGTTGTGTGGGGCTTTGCAATCAGTCAGGTGTTTTTCTTTTCACTCTCGACTCTCTTCTTCTCTGTGTTACTTCAAGAGCCTGCGCGCCCACGAACGCCAAGCAAACATTGGGCAACGCTGAGTAAGTAACAAGTGAACTTAAGTGAACAACATTTTTTCTGCACCTTTACCTTTCCTCACATAAAGTGAGCTTACAGAGCTCGAACGTGCGCGCAGCATCACCACATCCGACCCACACATTCGCATGAAACCTCATGAAACCCGTAAATTCCACACACACACACACACAGGTACCCACCAAGCCCCGGAACCGCTATAGTGTCCAGGGTTTATGATGTTGGAATATTAGCGGCTGAAACCTTTGAGTTACAGGGTGTGATTTTTGTCAGTGTGCTTCCGCGCTCATTCTCCGTTCCATTTTGCCCCATGTCGGGCGAGCTTTGCGCGCTGCCACAACTCGGAGGCGGGTGGTCAACATAAAAGTGAGCATAGTGGTTGGTTAACTACATCCTAGAGAAGCTGTGTCCTAGAGTGAAGGAAACGTTACCTCTGATCGTATATCGATGGACGCATCTCCTCTGACAGGTCACTGCTTCGACAAACTTGTTGCGTAGCTGCCTCAGCAATTTTCTATTTTCATTCCAGCTCGCTTTTTTCGGTGAGATTTCCTGGAGGCGTGAACGCTGCTTCTCAAGGAATGGACAGTCTGAGGTGGATGTAACGTCTCGGCGAGGGTCGGGCTCCCAGACAGAAGAGCTGTGTGCTTTACTATTTTCCTTTACCAGCAGCTCAAGTGCTCTTGAAGATGAGCTGAGCTGTCACCGCTTGGCTGCCGGCGGGGGGTTTGGGAGGCCTGCGAGCTACTTCGTTCACTGTATCTCCAGTGAAGAACTTCACCATTTGCCCTTACCAGCAGCTCAAATGCTCACGAAGATGAGCTGAGCTGTCACCGCTTGCCCGCCCGTGGGGGGGTTGGGAGGCCTGCACGCTGCTTGGTTCACTATATCTCAAGTGAAGACCTTCACCATTTCCCCTTACCAGCAGCAGACATAGACACACACACAGACAGGGACTCATACGCACACATCACACACAGAGACCCACACACTGCCTCAACTTACTTGGACACACACACACACACAGACAGGGACTCATACATAGATACACACAGAGACCCACACACTGCCTCAACTCACTCGACTTAACACTTCACACTGAACACTCAACACATAACTCACACTCTGACTTCCTACGAAATGCTTTCGGGCCACCCGTCGTCTAGTTAAACTACTCCTTGATTGGTTGCTGTAGAACTGAAAGAATTATGGATTTGATCGCATAATGCGATTGGTGACAGCAATTTTAGTCAAATGCGATTGGTGATTAGAACGAACGAGGAAACGGAATGAATCCACGGGAGCCAAAACAAGAGGAGGTTTTGGCGATCTGTTTTGCTGAATGCCGGAAAATTCCTTCAAGGGCCTCCAAATGAACATTTTTCAGACATTACACTCCGGTTTCGCAGGGTATTGTGACGCGTCGTCGATTTCTCTAACCAGGATTCCAGCTTTACGGATTGCCCCAAGAAGAATGCTCACCACGCACCGTTGGCAAAGAAGTGCCCTTACAAACCTGCAGCAGCTTCCGCTTTGAAGCTTGAGGCGGCACCTCGCACGGCGGTGAACCTGACGCCGGCGCGCCGTGCCGACTTGGCGCGGAAGGAAAGGGATGAGAGAATCCGGAATAAGACACACACCAGAGAAAGCGGAAGTCAGGAAACCAGCTCGCTTGAGCCTGGGAACCATTTTGATAGAGCCAGGACACCCACGACCCACGTTCACACATTGGGCATTCCTTCCTTCGGGTTTCTTGGGGTTTAGGACCCGGGTTCGCATTCTTTTCTCCGTTTGTTGACTCTGTCATTCTCCAAGTGGCTCATTGAAATGCAACTCGGTTTGTCGAGTTGGGTGTTGCATCGCAGCAGGAAGCATACGAAATGGTGGAGCTGGAGGAGGGGAACGAACGACCTGCAATGCATCTTGTCCCGGGGCTTCTTTAAAGTTTCTTTGAAGTCGGACAGCTGGGTTCACTTCAGTTGGGCTCCGGTTTCGGGCTTCGCTTCACTTCGTTCAGATTTCTTTTAGGCTCGGTTTTCCGCCTTGACTCCGAAAAAGTTTGCCGGTTAATTGACTCCCTTTTTGGGAATTGTTTTTGGCAAGCTGTGTCCGGGAAGGAATGCTTGAGCCCAATTTCGACACCCCTTCGAAGCTAGTTGAATAATTTTTGGTTTTGCAATTCTTTAGGGTTTCTTTGAACTTGGTTTTGAGCTCCATTTCCTTAGAGTTTAGGCCTACGCTTCGTTAGGGTGTGGCTTTAAATTTGGTTTGGTTGAGTGGGCTTTTTCCGTTGCATCGCAGCAGGACGGCGAAGATGAGGATTCCCGCTCGCCTCTTCTGCGCCGGAAGCGAGGATATTCATCTAAAAAGCGGAAGGTCCTGGGCAACTCTTTGGAGGCGCTGAAAGAATACGGTGCCTTGTCGCTTTATTGTGTCTTCATATTTCGGAGTTCTGACAAATTTCGAAGCAAAGACTTGACGCCCCTTAGTCCCTACCCTGACCGTTCCCTAGAAGGTTTGTTGTTTGGGGTCTGTTGGAAAGTTGAGGGTTGGCTTTGACTTGTGATTCGGCCCAGAGAGATGAATCTTTTGATTTGGTGGATCAAAGCATAGTTCCCTTCATGAGATTCTTCGTCAACTTGTGTAAAAGTAGGACTGACAAGTTATGACAACAAAAGGTATTCAACGAACGACACTGAAAGCGTGCCTTATGGACATTATCGTTTATCAAGTTGAAGCCCGTGATGCTGAAAATGCGGGTGTCCACTTGGTCTCTTTTTTGACATACAAAAAACTTCAAAAAGGACACCCTCTGGATGTTTGTGATGTCGGGTGTGTTTTTTGCATTTCTCGCATCCCTTGGAAGCATTTTTGCACTTAAACAACCTCATAAAGAAAGTTAACCCTATAAAAGGTAATTCCTCAGGTTTTCTTTTCAGGTCTGCCACTTCCTTTTCGAACTTGTCACTTGTCTATTCTATTCATTTGCTCTTGAACTGTCTTCCATAGAACCACCATCCGTGTCATATAGTTAATGCTTAAATACCTTTCTTCACTATGCTTTTCGTTCCTCTCATTCACTATTTTTTTAACTCCTCTGGTAGTTCCTTTTGTAGTTCTTGTGCTTTGAAACCGAATTTGTCATTCCTTTCATACTTACTACTGATGTACTCAAATGTTTTGACCTTTACATTCTTCACACAACTACTACATACGCTTTCAACTTCTTTGTTCTTTTTCAGTATCTCATCTGAAGGTGTTGTATCAACTATGTTTCCTTTCACCATTAATCAATCATTGTCTATTCCTTTGTTGCTCCTGCTAAATAATCATACCTCATTATTTCAACATTTGATGTTCCATCAACGGATTATAGGGGTTGCGGCTTGTCACTTGCATAGTGAAGCACGTTGCGAAAGGGGTGGACGGTGGCCATGCTGGGCCATGCTGTGGGTCGCCTTTTGAGGGAGATAGACTCGCTCACTGGACGTACTCGAAGCTGAAGGGGTTTCTTGGGCATACTGATGTTCAGTTTGGCTTTGCTATCCTCCTTCAACCACATTGACCTCGTGAAGATTCATGGAATAACTTGGATGAATAGTTGCGGATGGAGGTCATCACGAGGCCATCGCTCTTACATAGGTTGGAAGCCATCGCTAGTAGGTTGGGGGCCATCGCTCTTGGGATGCCAACCATCGCTCATAGGTTGGAAACCATGGCTTCTAGGTTGGAGGCCATACTAGTAGGTTAGAGGCCATCACTCTCAGGTTGGGAGCCATCTAGTAGGTCGGAGGCCAACGCTCTTGGTTTTGGCAGCACGCCTAGGATGGAGGCCATTGCTGCTTCCACGGGACTGGACTTGGGTACATATAGTATACAAATTGTATAGCAACCAAACCTGAATGACCTATTCATTCAAGTAGAACATCTGAAGGGTATTCCAGCGCCGGTCACCCTGGTCGCGGTTAACCCGGTTAGCCGACCAATGGGGCCCGGGCAACCCGGCCCGGTCAGCCCGGTTAGCCGACCAGCCGGGCCCGGTCAACCCGGTCCGGTCAGCCCGGTCAGCCGACCAGCCGGGCCCGGTCAGCCCGGTCCGGTCAGCCCGGCAAGCCGACCAGCCGGGCCCGGTCAGCCCGCTCCGGTCAGCCGGGTTAGCCGACCAGCCGGGCCCGGTCAGCCCGCTCCGGTCAGCCGGGTTAGCCGACCAGCCGGGCCCGGCCAGCCCGCTCCGGTCAGCCGGATTAGCCGACCAGCCGGGCCCGGTTAGGCGATTTAAATACGGTTCAATTCTATTTCAATAAAATCTAATTCAGTACAATTTGGTCAACCCAATTACTGTAACCGGCTACTACATCGGTTCGAACCGGGCCGCTGGCCGGGCTGACCGGCTGACCGGGGTGGGGGGTCTGACCGGATCCCGGTCAACTGGAATCCCGACCCGGTTACCCGGTCAACGCCATACTCCAATCCTTCTAATCCTCCCCCGATGTTCTCGGTCACAGCTCGGCCCAGGCAGAAGCTCTTCACAGCGCCCTTCGCGTGCCTTGTAGGTGCGCTCTAGCGGGCGGCGGCGTGGCCAGGTGCAGCGGGTGAGCCATCCAGGAAGCCTTGGTGGTTTGGGGTTCATGTGGGTTGTTTTTTTCTCATGGCAGGGTGGATGACGCCTGGATGATGCGTAACATCATGTAACATCGGAGTTTGTTGAGTTGCTCAAGTGTGATGGATGTGAGCTCGCAATTGCCTTCCTTTGACGTCCATTCGGTGCTGAATGATTTCGCGTTGGCTCGTCAGCACTCATCAAATCTTTCCAAGAAGGTCGGTTGATCCACCCAACCATGTTGTCAATCGGTTTCTTTCGCGAAAGATTGATGGAATTTGGTGGACCATGTTGGGTTCACCGTTGTCGAGTTGTTTTGTGAAGTTGTTTCCTCAACGACGACGACGACGTATGCTCTCTACACGAGTCACCTGTGCAGGTGGGAGAGCCCTGATGACCTGGTCTGGGCTCGGACTCATGACCCACAAGGGTACCACTGTCCGGAAACATGACCAGAACCTGTGGTTTCCTGGAAATTCATGTTTGAGTTAGCAAGTGAGGAACCCATTCTTGCGCCCCAGCTGCCATTCTCCAGGCGAGAAGGAGAGTCGAGTTGAAGCCTCAATGCGCGGGGGTAATGCAGGGGGTCAGACTTGGATGAGATCTATGGAGGGCTTAACATGGTTTGACCATTGGCTCGCTATTAGGTTGGAGGCCATCACTACTACTAGCTTGGAGGCCATCACGACTAGTAGCTTGGAGGCTATGGCTAGTAGCTTGGAGGCCATGGCTATTAGAAACAAAGAGAAAAGGCTATGATTATGATTAAGATGGTCGTCCAAAGACGGACTCCCTGGTTCTTTGAGCCAGGACCAGTGGGTGAAAGGGCGGATGATCGGCATAAAGCTTTGAAATATTCTGGTTGGCCCGCGCTTACTTAATTAAGTAGGCACCTACTTAATTGAGTGAGGGAGTAAGCTCAGGGCGACTAGTGAGCTTCTACCTACTGAACGCAGGATAGTTCACGCTTCTTCAAGGAAGCTCCCCCTGCCGAAGTGGGGGGAGAGCTTCCTTGAAGAAGCGCTCGCACTAGTGATTTGGTTCCTATAGTCATGTTAATGTGGAGAAAAAGACAGGTTCAGAGCACCGAGATCGATACACAACTGCTTCTGTTCGATGATTTCTGGTGCAGCCTGGAGTTCTGATCACCGGTGAAAGCCCCCAACTTCCGAGATCCAAGTGCTTCCGGGATGGCTGAGTCTGGATGCGCAGCTGTACCACAGTACCAGCCGATGGGTCCATATGGCGAAAGATGAAAGCGAGCCAAGCTGTTTGCACTCCAAATCAGGTGGATGTGGGCGCGATTTTCGAGTTCTACCTGCAAGCTGGATCCAAAGATAAGCCTGGAACCCTGTCTACAGACGGCCGCGCTGGCCGAGCTCAAACCTGTTGGGGAACCTACTAGCGATGGCCTCCAACCTACTTGCGACGGCCTCCAACCCAAGAGCGATGGCCTCCAGCCACCAACCTACTTGCAATGGCCTCCAACCTACTTGCAATGGCCTCCAACCTACTTGTAATGGCCTCCAACCTACTTGCATGGGACGGCCTCCAACCCAAGAGCAATGGCCTCCAACCTATTTGGGACGGCCTCCAACCCAAGAGCGATGGCCTCCAACCTACTTGCGACGG